GAACTGCTAGGTGGGCAGGAGAAGGGACCAAGCAACGGGAGCTCACCCCGTCGCAGGGATTCGAACCGCTGACCTTCTGACCGGCAAGTCCTAGGCTCTGTGGTTTAACCCACGTCCCTCTAGGTTGCATGTACACAGTTATAAAAAACACTCTGGAAATGCTCTGGAAAAAAACATTTTTAAAGCTCACAATGGAAAATTTCATAGGGTTCCAATTTCAGCTCTACAGAGCCATCTATTGTCAAGGTGTTATAGCCTCAGCTTCACAATCTGTCCTTCCAGTGAGCACTCAGGGCTGATTTCCTTCAGAATGGATAGGTTTGATCTTCTTGCAGTCCATGGGACTCTCAAGAGTCTCCTCCAGCACCATAATTCAAAAGCATCAATTCTTCGGCAATCAGCCTTCTTTATGGTCCAGCTCTCACTTCCGTACATCACTACTGGGAAAACTATAGCTTTAACTATATGGACCTTTGTTGGCAAGGTGATGTCTCTGCTTTTCTCCTATACTAGTAGTACTTTATATTTGAAATGCAGGACCTCATTAGTACCTGGAACCCCATGCACACAAGGAAAGGCTTTTGCAATGACCCCATGGAGAGTACAAAAGTGCAGGCACACCCCAAAGAGCAATTATACTCAATTTATTCAGATGAGCCTGAGTGCAATCCTATACATCTACTCTCCACTGAACTGTGGAGCTTCTGATTGCGTAGCTTCAACTTTTAAATCACATGGAGTTTTAACGGAAATCTACATCTGGTTGACGTTTAGCTTTCAATTAGAAATCCGCACCATCTTGCAAAGTAGTGTTACAATTTTAACTGCAGGCATGAAGTTGCAACCCCATCAAAGGAAAGAAAAAGACGTACCCAACCTCTAGCTAATTATTTTCCTTCTTCTCTGGCTTCCGCAGGTAATCTATAACAAGCAAACCCGTAAACCTCATTGTGTGGACAGGCGGAGTCCCCCAAACCCTGGGCGGCCCCCGTGTGGAATAACGACTCAAGACAACGTGCTATGGGATTAAAATTGGCCACAACTTTATTATGTTTCGGATGTGGGTAGACATTGGCTCAGGCATTGGGCGTTTATCCCTCCCAGTCCCCCGCCGGGGATCTGGGAACATCACGGTTATCCAGTGTGTGGGGGGGGGATGGGCTGGCTCTGGAGAATATATGTTCAAGCAGAGAGAGCCCGCCACCGTTACGACGCCATCACAGGGGAGAGCAATGACAACCTCTAGGCGTACAGCCAAAGCCTCCCCTCAAAACCCCTTTAACGGGGAACCCTGGTATCGCCGCCGAAAAGAGGAGGAGAGTGTGGATCACTGCTACATGCCCACCCCTATTTAGGGAAGATAGTCTAAAGGATTCCGCCTGACGTTTCCCAGGTAAGATCCCCCCCCCCTATTGTGTGGGCAGGTGGTCCCTCCCCCTACCTGGCCTGATCACCTTGGCAACGCCTCCCCAGGTGGGATTGGGCAACTGACTGAGGTAGGCGGAGACCTCCAGGTATCCCACCTGGGGAAGGTGAAGCCAAGCCTCTGCTAATAGTGCGCATGGGGTCCAGGGGGCTGCGCGTGACCACGCAAAGGGCACCCCCCGTTTAATGTGGGGAGCGGTCATTGTCACCTCATTTGTTTGCCAGAGCAAGGAGGACTCACGAATTATCCCATTGCTCTGGTAGATGACATCATGGGTCCTGCTGTGGGGGGGGGGGATGCTGAAACTGTGCTCCCCTGCATTCCTCCTGTACTACACAACTTGCGACACACACACAAATAGTTATAAACTGCTGGTACAAGGAGAAAAGCATGCCCTTGATATGAGTTACTGTGCAGTTTTATGACAATTGAATGGGGTCTGACCTTCATGATAGTTCTGAAAGGGAGAGAGAGCTTACCTGCTACACCAAAGCATGGAGCGTTACCGAAGGAAGTAGAAGCGCGTCTCCAACATGTCTATGATGTATGCCAGGGAAGGGCTGTGCAGCTCAGTGAGTAGAGCATCAGCTTTGCAAAAGCGCCTTCATTATATATATTTTAGACGCCAGGCGAGAACATTCCTCTTCAGCCAGACCTTTGGCAGATTAATATTCTACATCCTTTTAAATGTGTCTGTGAGAAGGGGAGAGGTCATTTTGTTGTTTTGTTTTAATTGCTTACTTATGTTTTTACTTTGCATTTTGTTCTGCGAACCGCCCTGAGGTCTTATGATGAAGGGCGGTACAGTGGTACCTCTCGTTGCGAACAGGATCTGTTCCAGAGCCCTGAGCAGAATGCAACCTGTGTCTGCGCGTCTCCGGGTCACGATTCGCCGCTTCTGCGCATGACATCATTTGGAGCATCTGCACATGCATGAGGAGCGAAACCCGGAAGTAACCCTTTCCGGTACTTTTGGGTCACCGCGGGACGCAACCTGAAAAGATTTAACCCGAAGCGTCTTTTCAGGCAAAAACACTCAGGGAGGGGGCAGAGCAGGACTGTGTCAGGGGTGTGACTTGGGGGTGGAAATCCCACAAGTCAAGTAGAGGATGTTGGAAAATGCCCTGAGGGCGCATCTCCCTTCTCTTCCAGTGCGCTTCTAGCGACATATACCAACTGGTATATGCACACTAAGCTTATGGCATAACACAGCAAGAAGCGTGAGACATCGCAGAGCTAATCTACTATATATTTACACACTATGTACAGGCAAACACATAATGGCGTCCGTTCTCTCCAGCTCCGAGAGAACAACAGGCACAAATAAAAGGGAAAGTACATTACATCATCATCATCATCATCATCATCATCATCATCATAATTTTTATTTATACCCCACCCTCCCCAGGTCCCTTATTTTCCCTCCTGCTGGTCCCTTATTTTCAAATCTGAAAGTTGGCAGCTGTGGGTTGTGGCCTTTGCCTGCGCCTCCAAAGGTAGGGTATCCCTTTAGAGGGATTTGGGAGGAGCTACTTTCGTCCAGATGCCCAGGCGTTGACACTTGGCATCACTTCCGGCTGGCAGACCGGTAGTTAATGGTTGCCCAGTGCCTATGCCAAAAATGTTACATCTGGTGTCAATAAAGTTGTGGCCTTATTTGGTCCAATCTAAGTTGCTGTGTCCATCATTCGTAACCACTCGGGGAAGGTCGGGGGTGCAGTGTCTGCGCATGCAAACGGAAGAAAACTTTTTCAGCAGGGGGCCGGTCCACTGTCCCTCAGACCTTGTGGGGGGCCGGACTATATTTTGGGGGGGGGGGGAATGAACAAATTCCTATGCCCCACAAATAACCCAGAGAGGCATTTTAAATAAAAGCACACATTCTTCTCATGTAAAAACACGCTGATTCCCGGACACGCTGATTCCCGGACCGTCCGCAGGCCGGATTGAGAAGGCGATTGGGCCGCATCCGGCCCCCGGGCCTTAGTTTGCCTACCCATAATCAAGGTGTTATGGGACGCAGGTGGGTTAAACCACAGAGCCTAGGACTTGCCGATCAGAAGGTCAGCGGTTCGAATCCCCGCAACGGCGTGAGCTCCCGTTGCTTGGTCCCTGCTCCTGCCAACCTAGCAGTTCGAAAGCACATCAATGTGCAAGTAGATAAATAGGTACCGCTCCAGTGGGAAGGTAAACGGCATTTCCATGTGCTGCTCTGGTTCGCCAGAAACAGTTTCGTCATGCTGGCCACATGACCCGGAAGCTGTACCCCGGCTCCCTCGGCCAATAAAGCGAGATGAGCGCCGCAACCCCAGAGTCAGGCACAACTGGACCTAATGGTCAGGGCTCCCTTTACCTTTACTAATCAAGGCATTCCACCCGAGGTTCCTGAATCTGCACACAATAATATCTAGAAACAGCCCTTTGCCGAGTTAAATGGGGGCTCCATCTGACCACAGCTATCCCATGAGCCAAGATTTGCTGCCTGGGATCATTTGACAAAAGAGGCCAAGGGCTGAGCCTTTCATGGTTCTGCCACTTCCCTCTTTCCCACTCAGAACGGCCAGTGAGACTGAGTTCAGAACGTGGCCTTGTCAGGCGGCAAGTTCCCCCACCTTCCAAATGTTGCTGCCGGCCGAGCAACTCGCAGCGAGGCAACATGCTGCCACGTGATGAATTTCAGAAACGCTGTAGATGAGAAGACTGACTCCGACCTGCTGCTTTCAGTGGCAGCGCCACAGCCACTGCGAACATCTAATTACCACCCAAAGTTTAAACTCTCCCCACTGAGTTCTTGCTTCCCAGCTGATACATTTCAGGCTTCTGACTTCCCGGCTTGCAATCGCACCCAAATCGTGTTCTTTACCCTTTTGCATTTTTGGAAGGGGGACAATGACTGATTGATCCCGCCATGCTCATACCTGAAGCCGACCGTTTTCTTTCATTCTCAAAAACGTGTGTGGTGCAAATTGTACATTTTTTCAGAGTTGGGAGTTTCTTTGCCCAGGGTGGTGGTATAGAATTAACAGAAAGGCATCTTGCGTTATGTACGTACGCTGGCATGCATCTCTGTGTGCAAGCCCAAACGTATAGTGTATGTGTGTATCTTTGTGTATACCAGCTCAGAAAAACCATAGGTCCTGCAGTGATGAGGGAATGGGAAAAATCAATACTTGCCATGTAGCATGTAACCAATAGAATAAGGGGAATGATTTATGGATGGAAGGATGCAGTCAGAATCATCTGGGGCCTTGTACAGAGAGGGAGAGGGAGAGAGGGAGGTGGGGGTGAGCCGGACTGCAGTGATTATTCCTACTGTATGGCCAGCGCTCTCTCTCTCTCTCTCTCTCTTGCTTTTGCTCTCTCTTTTCTGCAGCAATAACCCCTTTTCTCAAGCACTGCGGGACATAAGCAAAAGACCAGCAACGTGTGGCATGTACCAGTCTTTACTGCCGGGGCTCAAGGATGACGCTATGTCTCAGGTACACTTCGAAAGAAAAAGAGAACGATGGACTCTCCAGAGCGTGCTCAGTCTTCTCCCAGGTACGTCCGCTCTTAACGTTTGCCATATCGGATGGGCTTTGCGTGGCTAAGATTAAAGAGACCCGGTTTATTGTTGTTGTAGAAGTTGTTGTTGGTATCATCATTATTTTTGGGTCATTTCAATATTACAAGACCCCCAAAAATTAATCACCCCCAAAAAACCTGGAGACTTATCAATGGAAACTCCTGCATGCTAAGATGAGTTTCTGCTGGGCTGTTTTAAAAAAAAATTAGATCACCAGGAGAGGCAGCAATGTATTATTTAATGACTGCTATGGTAACTTTGAGCAAGGCAGCGCTATTGTCAGTTCCTGAAAACAAACAAACCAGGGAGGAAGGGTCTGGGGAAGATACGGCTAGGATGAAGGCTTGGCAAAGTGAAGCTCTCTTTCGGCTGTGTCTCTCTGGTGCCACCTGAGTGCATGCATTTACTCAGGAGTAAGTCTCGTTGGTGGCAGCAGAACTTGCTTGCGAGTAGGTCTGTTGGCTAGGATCGGCGCCGTAGGTTTGGATCTGTGTTGGCGACTCGTAAAAGATTGTTATAACTGTTCTGTGTGTGGCAAAAGAGCCTCAACGGTTATCATTTGGTCAATGCCAAACTGTTTTGTTTTCAATGCCTTCTGTGTATAATACACATATATATTACACACACACACACACACACACACACACACACACACATTGCTGAGAATGGAATACTCGGGCCATGTTTACAGCCATAGAGTTTGTCGCAAAGTAAGGTCAGAAGTGTGATTTAGACATTTACAAACAACTTACTACTGGGCTCTTCCCCCTTTCTCCTCTCAAACCTCTGTACAATATTCAAAACCAGGTCTTGCCAGTCATTTGCCGGCCACGATATTACTGTGAGGTTGCTGCGAAAATTCCCACAGAACAATGGGAGCGACCCTGTCTCAATAGTCCTGTCCAAGTCATTTGTGAATGGGTCAGAATAGGTCGAAACAGTGAATTTCAGCTATACAATTCTATAATAATATGTAACTTTTATTGACAGCAAGGCACCGTTTAGCCACTTACGTATGAAAGCTCACAAGTAAACTTTCTGATTAATTTGCCCACGTGTGATTTAAAGATGAGGTCACATTTATTATTATTATTATTTGGTTTTCTGCTGAACAGGCCAAACAGCAGCACGGTAACATTATGCTATGTTGTTATTCTGCTTTTTCCCCTCTACTTCCTCATTATTAAATGCATCAGCTATACAGTTTGCATTCCGCTATGGAAGAACAGATGGACATATGGATTTATATCAAGCAATCACAAATATATATTGTATATCTATCAGTCTGTCTGTCTAGATCCACACCTATTTCAGCCAATTGCATTCAACTGTAGTCCTACCTGGAGTAGACCCGTTGAAGCTAATGGGCACGACTAATTTAGATTCATTCATTTCAATGAATGGAAGATGGAAGGGGAGTCCTCCACGCTGCAACATCTTGTTGCAGGTCTCCAACAGCAAAAAACAGGTGGCCCAGTGGCTAGTCAAAAGTAAGGTAGTGACTTCTGCTTACTTTGGGGGGAAATCCCTAGGAATGCAAAATATGTGCTAGTAAATTAAAAATAAATGTATTTTAAACCCCACCACAGTCCCAAAACGATCTGACAAGGACCTGTCAGCTTTCACAGGCATGTGGACTGCTGAGTTTTCACTCAGAAAGGTGGGAGAAAGTAAAGTGAGAGAGAAAGGAACCACCAACCCGCTATATCGCAATAAAATGCTTAGGTTTGGGGCTGGAAGCAGAGCGGGGAGAGGAGAGAAACTTTTCCCTGTTTCCCTTCTTGAAACTCCACCCGCCCCAAAGCACAAAGGCTCCTGCTCCAACCTGTTAGATACACCATAACAATTCAATGCTGGTCTTCACTAGTACAGTTCGTTTCCTATGTTTCCACATATGCGTTTCATGCGTTGGTAAGACTGTTATTTTCTGTATTATTATTTTTTTCTTGGATAATTTAGGCTAATAATAATAATAATAATTTATTTATACCCCACCCATCTGGCTGGGTTACCCCAGCCACACTGGGCGGCTTCCAGCAAAATATTAAAATACAATAACTCATCAAAAAAATTAAAAGCTTTCCTAAACAGGGCTGTCTTCAAATGTCCTCTAAAAGTCAGATATAGTGGTATCTCGAGTTAAGAATTTAATTTATTCTGGAGGTCTGTTCTTAACCTGAAACTGTTCTTAACCTGAGGTACCACTTTAGCTAATGGGGGTCTCCCGCTGCCGCTGCGCCGCCGGAGCACAATTTCTGTTCTCATCCTGAAGCAAAGTTCTTAACCCAAGGTACTATTTTAGTCTGTAACCTGAAGCGTCTGTAACCCGAGGTACCACTGTAGTTGTTTATTTCCTTGACATCTGATGGGAGGGCATTCCACAGGGCGGGGGCCACTACCAAGAAGGCCCTCTGCCTGGTTCCCTGCAACCTTACTTCTCGCAGTGAGGGAACCGCCAGAAGGCCCTCGGAGCTGGACCTCAGTGTCCAGGCTGAATAGCGGTGGTGGAGATGCTCCTCCAGGTATACTGGACCGAGGCTGTTTGGGGCTTTAAAGGTCAGCACCAATGCTTGTGCTCGGAAACGTCCTAGCCCTCTTACCTGGGAATAAGCCCTGCTGAATTCAATAGGAACACAGGAAGCAGTCTTATGCTGAGTGAAGACACTGGTCCAGCTACTCCACTATTGTCTCCCCTGACTGGCAACAGCTCTTCAGAGTTTCACTGAGGGAACATTCCCAGCCCTAAACAGAGATGCCGGGAATCGAACCAGGGACCTTCTGCATGCAAAGCAGATGCTCAGCCACTGAGCTACAGGGGGCTTAGCTGTGAGTTGACGTGTTGAGGATTGTGCTGTCAGATTCTTGTTTCAGTGTCCCCGTTTTGTGGAGTTTGCTGTCTTCCTATTACGGTTGTTGTAATATCATGAATAATATTATTCATATTTGAAAGAAAACACATCATTTTGTTATCTTATTGTTGTTGTTGTTGTTATTATTCACTTCATTCTTCTACCACTTTATATTTTTAAGAAGAAGAAAAAATCTCAAAGTGGTTTACAACCTACAATGAAGCATCAGATAAAACATTCTGAGAGGGGGGTCAGGCCAAAAAGCTGTACAGATATCACGCTGACCACAAATAAATGAGCTAGCTTGTTCAGGTGGTAATAATAATAATAATAATAATAATAATAATAATAATAATTTATACCCCGCCCATCTGGCTGGGTTTCCCCAGCCACTCTTCCAACAGAATACTAAAATACAATAATCTATTAAACATTAAAAGCTTCCCTAAACAGGGCTGCCTTCAGATTTCTTCTAAAAGTCTGGTAGTTGTTTTTTTCTTTGACATCTAATGGGAGGGCAGGCGCCACTACTGAGAAGGCCCTCTGCCTGGTTCCCTGTAGCCTCACTTCTCGCAATGAGGGAACCGCCAGAAGGCCCTTGACGTTGGACCTCAGTGTCCGGGCTGAACGATGGTGGTGGAGATGCTCCTTCAGATATACTGCATTGAGGTCGTTTAGGGCTTTAATGGTCAGCACGAACACTTTGGGTTCTCCCCACAGTTCAGAGATCTACCCCTTTCCTTCTTTTGCAGACACCCCATGATCTGCTACTAGGTGGAAGTGTTGGAGGAGAGCCAGCCAAAAGCACCAGCCTCTGGGTCAAGGCAGCTCAAAGACATTTTGCCGCCTGAGGCAAAGATGGCGCCTTCATTCCATTCCATGTACAGAACCTGAATGTACTGGCTGTTGAATCTTACTTCAACATGGTGATGGGATGGCATCATCCACAGCACCTGAGGAGCATTAGGCTACCCCACGAGGTGAGGGGCAAGCTGTGTGGCCACTGCCTCACCCTGCCCAATGGCAGGGACGGCTATGTCTTCAAGTAATGTCAAACGCTGACTGTTTTCGTCACATTTCTTAGAATGTTTCTTCTCTGTTTCTGGAACGAATGAATCTTACATAGAGAGAGAGAGAACCCAACATGCTTACCTTGGAAGTAAAAAAAGGGTATGTTGAGAATGAGAAAGAAGGGGGGGACCCATAGCATTTTTTTGATATCATAATTGTTAAGAGTATTTCTCAGTGCCAGCAAATATAATCAGAGCCTGTTGTTGTTATTAATATTTTCATGGTGGCTTATGGCCAGCTTTAGTGATCTCACTCTTGTTTTCCTCTTTCCCTGTGAAACAGAGTTTTATTTAAGTTTCATCTAATAAAGTTTGCACCACGTTTTCCTGATCCAGCCTGTATTAGAGAGGAGAATATTTTGACCAGTGTGTGTGTGTGTGTGTGTTTAGTACAGTGGTACCTTGGTTCTCAAACTTAATCCATTCCGGAAGTCCGTTCCAAAACCAAAGCGTTCCAAAACCAAGACGTGCTTTCCCATAGAAAGTAATGCAAAATGGATTAATCCATTCCGGACTTTTAAAAACAACCCCTAAAACAGCAATTTAACATGAATTTTACTATCTGACAAGACCACTGATCCATAAAATGAAAGCAATAAACAATGCACTTTTCGCTCTCTTAACTTACACAGGGTTGCCAGACCATATGATCCAACATAAGGCCTCACCGCTTTCTGGTCCTGCCATAGCCCCAGAACCTTCCCACTTTTCAAGGTTTATGCCAGTTTACGATCCACTGGTCTCAGCTCAGTGGGCTGGGAGGGGGGATTACATAGACAATAGCCTGGCTGCGCTGGGAACCTCTCAGCTCATTCAGAGATCCACTGCATCCTAACTCCGCGCATCTCAGCAGATCCTGCCGTAGAATTGTTTCCTTTGAGACCTTTGCACGACAGGAGACAAAAAGTCAAATTATTATTAATAGTACTGCTGCTGCTAATAATAACGATAACAATAATTCTAGCAAAAGTGTATACACTGTGTTTATTAGGAGGAAAGTGTGCTGGATTTTATTTATTTATTTGAATATTTGTGATTCACATCTTAATAAAATATATTGAGGTGGCTTACTGTATTTTATTATTATTATTATTATTATTATTATTATTATTAAATTTATATACTGCCCTTCGTCTGAAGATCTCAGCGCAGTTTCCGAGATAAAAATGCAGGAGAAAAGTACAAAACGAATAGTTAAAATGAAAACAGATCAATACCACCACCCCCCAAACACAAAATAAAATAAAATACAATCAAATCAATCTACCAATATCTGTAAAACGTAATTACAAACATCAATAAAACATCAGTAGATTACGTTTGGTTAAAATAGATAAGTTAATATTTTGAAGGCCTGTCTAAATAGTGCAGCCTTCAAGTGGCGCTGGAAAGAAGGCAGGGATAGCCGCTGCCAAACATCTAGCAGTCTTTATCAACCTTGGGTCCTCAGCTGCTGTTGGACTACAACTCCCATCGTCCCTGACGGCTGGTCCTTCTAGCTAGGGATGATGGGAGTTGTAGTCCAACAGCAGCTAGAGACCCAAGGTTGAGAAACACTGGTCTGGAGGCAGGAGGTTCCACAGGGCAGGCCCTGGAACATGAAAGACGTAGTCCCTAGTGAAAGCCAACCGAATCTCAAAGGTGTATAGAATCACCAGAAGTGCCCTATCAGAGGATCTTAGCAGTCAAGGTGAATTATAAGGAATCAGATGGTCTTCAGGTTACAGTGGTACCTCTGGTTACGTACTTACTTCGTTCTGGAGGTCCGTTCTTAACCTGAAACTGTTCTTAATCTGAAGCACCACTTTAGCTAATGGGGCCTCCTCCTGCTGCCGCGCCGCCGGAGCACAATTTCTGTTCTTATCCTGAAGCAAAATTCTTAACCTGAAGCACTATTTCTGGGTTAGCGGAGTGTGTAACCTGAAGCGTATGTAACCTGAAGCATATGTAACCCAAGGTACCACTGTACTTTGATCCCAAGTTGACAATCGCTGACAAATTCCCATGAAAACTCTTATTTTAAAAAATCACAAACTGATGTGAAGATGGGGCAAACTGAGCGGAGGACTGGAAAGAATAGAAAAGGAGAGAAACCCAAACTGAAAAATGCATTGTTGTTTTACAGTCAAGCAGTGTAAGATTTTTTTGAGATAAAATAATAAATCCATGCCTATTTGAGTTTAATGAAACCAGTATCACATTGTCAGAATTTTTAACCTTGAAGTTTGGAGTTCTTTTGTCTTAGAAAAAAATAATCCTGATTGAGACCTCATCCGGACTTCCTTTTACGCCATGTTTCTACATACAGATCTGTGCTTCAAAGCACTGCGTCTGAGCACTTTTTCTTCCCACTGTTTTCCCCGTGAAAACCTGCTCTTTAGTGATGAATCACTTGCCTGGTTTGGTCGGTTGGTTTTAACACAGGCAAGCATTCGCTAATGGCATCTCTCTCCCTGCGCCTTTTAGCAGCGCAGACTGCCAAACCTGTTGCACTCAAATGGGTGAAGCAAAGTTGCTACACTCGTTCTTTAAAGAAAAGGAACGTTGTTGTTTTTTAGTTGAGAAGCAGCAAAAGATGCTTAACCCCTTTCCTACTGAATGTTTCACTGCCCTGACCCCCACACCCCCACACACAACACAACTGCTTCTCCTCTCCGTGACGTTCAAGGTGTGTGTTTGTGATCTGTAATCTCGCAGAAGCAAAAAGAGATGGGCATAATTTGGAGTGGAAAACAGCAAGTAATATAATAATAATAATAATAATAATAATAATAATAATAATAATAATTTATTATTTATACCCCGCCCATCTGGCTGGGTTTCCCCAGCCACTCTGGGCGGCTTCCAACAAAACACTAAAATACAATAACCTATTAAACATTAAAAGCTTCCCTAAAGAGGGCTGCCTTCAGATGTCTTCTAAAAGTCTGATAGTTGTTCTTCTCTTTGACATCTGGTGGGAGGGCGTTCCACAGGGCGGGTGCCACTACCGAGAAGGCCCTCTGCCTAGTTCTCTGTAACTTGGCTTCTCGCAGTGAGGGAACTGCCAGAAGGCCCTCGGCGTTGGACCTCAGTGTCAGGCAGAATGATGGAGGTGGAGACGCTCCTTCAGGTATACAGGACCGAGGCCGTTTAGGGCTTTAAAGGTCAGCACCAACACTTTGAATTGTGCTCGGAAATGTACTGGGAGCCAATGCAGGTCTTTCAAGACCGGTGTTATATGGTCTCGGCGGCCACTCCCAGTCACCAGTCTAGCTGCCGCATTCTGGATTAGTTGTAGTTTCCAGGTCACCTTCAAAGGTAGCCCCACATAGAGCACATTGCAGTAGTCCAAGCAAGAGATAACTAGAGCATGCACCACTCTGGTGAGGCAGTCCGTGGGCAGATTGGATCTTAGCCTGCGTACCAGATGGAGCTGATAAACAGCTGCCCTGGACACAGAATTGATCTACGCCTCCATGGACAGCTGTGAGTCCAAAATGACTCCCAGGCTGCGCACCTGGTCCTTCAGGGCACAGTTACCCCATTCAGGACCAGGGAGTCCTCCACACCTGCCCGCCTCCTGTCCCAAAAACAGTACTTCTGTCTTGTCAGGATTCAACCTCAATCTGTTAGCCGCCATCCATCCTCCAACCACCTCCAGACACTCACACAGGACCTTCACTGGTTCTGATTTGAAAGAGAGGTAGAGCTGGGTATCATCCGCATACTGATGAACACCCAGCCCAGGGTTAAGCTGCCCTCCCTAGGCTGCTTTTCTTCCAAGAAAAGTTAGATTTAGAAGAATAGTTTTCCCCCCTTATTATGTTTTATTGTAATATTATTGGCCGCCCTGAGCCTGGCTCTGGCCAGGGCGGGCAGGGTATGTATATATTGTTGTTGTTGTTGTTGTTGTTGTTGTTGTTGTTATTCTTTCAAAGTCTAACATGAACTTTACCCCTGAAGGAATAAATGATAAGTATCATTGACATTACAACTACTTATTACTAATTATTAGTATCATACCAGCATCAGCGCGTAACACATTATCCTACGTTATAAAAGAGAAAAATGTAGATCTTAACACTTTGCAGTCAAAAGTGGAATTGCGCATGCTGAGGGGGACAAAAAAGTAAAGATAAAAGCATTCGTCCAGTTTTCATTGTCATGAGTGCAGCAGATTTTCAGATCTCGAAACCTCTGGTGCAGAGGGCCTCGAGGTGAGCTTGACATACCGTATTTTTCTGTCTATAGGATGCCCCCTTATAGAAGACACACACCCCTATTTTGGGGGACTCAATTTTAGGAAAATGAGGGGAGATGGCCTAAAGTTGTTGAGCCTCTCCCCCCACTGCGGGCAGGAAACACTCCCTAGATCGTGCAGTGGCATCGGGGGAATTTGCACTCCCACCAACGAGCTGACTGGCGCCACACCGCTTCTGTGCCCCCCCCCCCCCCGTGTATTGGAAGAACCCAGTTTTTTGATGTGGTTTTTGAGTCAAAAAACCTCGTCCATTGCGCCAACGAAGTTGCAGCTCTGGATACGTCCCCAATGTTGCCTCCAATGTGAGGCCCTGGTGGCAAGTGTAGAAGAAGAAGGGTTTGGATTTGATATCCCGCTTTATCACTACTCTAAGGAGTCTCAAAGCGGCTAACATTCTCCTTTCCCTTCCTCCCCCACAACAAACACTCTGTGAGGTGAGTGAGGCTGAGAGACTTCAGAGAAGTGTGACTATCCGAAGGTCACCCAGCAGCTGCACGTGGAGGAGCAGGGAAGCGAACCCGGTTCCCCAGATTACGAGTCTATCGCTCTTAA